TTACTCAGCCATAAAATGGAATGAACTTGAGTCAGTTCAAGTGAGGTGGATGAACCTAGAGCCTGTTATACAGACTGAAGTATGTCAGAAAAAGAAAAATATCATATGTTAATGCATATACATGGAATTTAGAAAAATGGTATTGATGAACCTATCTGTATGGCAGCAAGAGAGACGGAGAAATAGACAATAGACTTGTGGACACAGTGGGGGAAGGAAAGGGTGGGACAGACAGAGAGCAGCACTGAAATATACACATGACCGTATGTAAGACAGACAGCCAGTGGGGATCTGCTGCATGATGCGGAGAGTTCAGTCTGGTGCTCTGTGACCACCTAGAGTGGGATGGGGTGGGAGGTGGGAGGGAAGTTAAACAGGGAGGGGACATATGTGTATCTATGGCTGTTTCATGTTGATGCATGGCAGAAACCAACAAAACATTGTAAAGCAATTATCTTCCAATTAAAAATAAATAAACAAAAATGAAAGACAGGGTGAAGAAACTAGCTTCCAATGAGTTCCATTTTAAGTGTCAGATACTGAGTTAGGCAGTATCCTGGGAGGTACAGTGTTAGCTCTATTTTACAGATGAGGGTGAAGAATTTAAGCAACTTTCCCAATGTCACATAGCAACAAGTAGAAGAGCTAGGATTCAAAACCAGGGCAGTCTATTAGAAGCCTTATCCTCATCTACTACCTGAAAGGTTTTCAAGTTACATTCTGCCAGTTACTGGGTTCCCTGAAAATATCCCAGGGACTCTAGCAGGAGAACAGAATACTCCCTCCCGCTGCTTCACCCAGAGCAGTGCCCCCTTTAGCTGTTTTATATATTAAAGTTCTATGTAAAATTTCAAATGAAGACAGAAGTTCACATTAAAAAAAAAAGTTTGAAAATCTTCTGTTTTCATCATTCTGTGTTAACACAACCAACAAACATTCTCTTAACAGGTAATAGATGCACATGATGCAAAATTCAAAAGGTATAAAAAGTAATCACTCCAAAAAAAAAAAAAAAAAAGTAATCACTCCAGCAGTTTTAAAACTGATTTCAGGTTAAAAGACACTGGGGAAAACCAAAACCACTTGGAGTTCTGTTTCCTTCTGTCAGTAACCTTAATCGGCTACATATACTAAATGCTCATGAGCCCCACTGTTACAAGTTTAGCAAGCCAGAGCTAGGGGCCTCAGAGGTTATCTAAACAGGGGCAGGACATCCCCAAGCCTCTATGCTGCCAGGATCTTAAGCCTCCAAGGCCCACTTACTGGGTTACTGCCACCCACGACTTTACTGCTGCTCCTTGGCCCTTGTCTCCAGTCAGGAGTCAGGACCACCCACTAGAACCATTATTATTCTTTTCTTCCTCAGTTTTTTCTTTTCCAGGCAAAATGGTTTCTGACCTCTTCTGGGAGACTATTTTTCAACTTAATCATCTTTGTGGGTGATGTGCAAATTCATTTCCCAGTGCTAGGCTGTATTGGTGGAAAACGTCTGCTTAGGAAACTGGTTTAAGTCTTCACTCTTCCCTTTATTAACCAGCTATGTGAAAGACAGAAAGTCAATTTTTCTGAGTCTCAGTTTCTTGAAATGGAGATAAGAACTTTATCTAGATGAGTGTAAAAAACCCATTTTTCATTAAATTATTACTTTTTAGAAAACAAAATTAAAAACAAAAAGAATGTTTGATTATATTTTTTAAGATCCTTTTACAGATATCTGAATTACAGGGGTGGGGAGTGGGGCGGGGAACTACTGTATTTTTCTCCAATGTTTTCCTTTCAGGAAAGAGGAGGTAAATTACAAAAAATAAGCTGACATCAGGAATCTGTTAGGAATTTTTTTTTCAAGGGAAGAAAAATACACATTTACAAAGTGCCAAAATACATGCATACCCAAAACTCCCCTAAGAGACTGCCAGTGCGAGCTCTGGAGTCAGACTCCAGCCCAATTTTCTAGATGACAGTTCTCTACAAGAACTGACTTCTTAAATAGTTGCCATAAGGGACTACAGGATCTTAAATCATTGATGGAAACCAAGCCATTTTCTCTACGCTCTAGGTCATAATGCAGGGAAAGTGCCCCAATACACTTTATAGAGAACAAAAAGGATGTTCTTGTTAGCCAGATAATTCAATTAACTGGAACCAGCACTGTGGTAGAGCTTTTAGTACTAAGAAGTACTTTAGAGCTATTATTTACTGAGAGCACACACACACCAAGTGCCTGATAAGCATTTTCCCATTTTATTCTCACAATTTCCCTGACAAAACAGACTTGAGAGAGGCTGGCAACTGATGACCAGGAATCTTAACGAGCCCTGACTACAAAGCCCACGTGCTCAATCACTGACATAAAACTCACTGGAAACTATCTGAGAAAGAAATTATTTGACATCTTTAGCAACAAAAATATCACTGTATTTTTGTTCATATACAAACACACACATATACAGTCTCACACCAACATGTTTTTCTTCAAGAAACATTATTTATAAGAACAGTCAAACCAACATTTTAGAGAAGACAATTCTTAGCCTCAAATAATCTAAAATTTTATGTAAAGCAAATCACATACAAAAACACTTTCTAATTAACTGTTCCAACAGCTGTCAAGTTATTCTTCAAATATAATGTAGCTGGGCAGCACTATTTATAAAATGATTCTGATGTTCATTTAAAGCTATGTTAGTTTGTTCCAGAAAGACTGACCCATTCTTTGACATGGTAAGATCTCTTAGTCCTTCACTCCTTCGCACATTGCTCCATCTGTCCAGAATGCTTTCCCCAGGTGGTCCTGCTGGCAAGTTCACATTCCTCCTTCAAAACCCTGCAAGTGACTCCCCCAGGCAGAGGCAGATGTGAGCGCCCTTCCTCTGTACTGCCACGGCTCAAAACATCAGGGGCCCCATTTCACTGGGGATCATACTACAGTGGATGGCACACAAGTTTTTAATTGTTCTAACATACTGTTCAAAAAGAACAGTAATAGAAATAAAAAGAGCTCTGGAAACTACAAAGTAGAAGGGCTAATTATGATTAAGAAAATCAGAGAGGGGACTGACAGATAACACTTGAGCTGGACCTTGAATACGCAGAAGAGTAAATTCTCAGTCAAGGAACAAACAGCATGAGCAAAAAGGTTCAGATAACAAATGCTTATTATACTTGAGATAACAAATGCATATTATACATTGAAAACTTCTTACTATTACAGAAATGAGTATCCTCAAAGAAAATGCCATGGAAAGTTTGATTACAAGAATTGTAAAAGCTTCAGAGAAAAAAATATACTGCATTACATCCCTCCTGTCTCTTCCCCTGGCTAGAAAGTATTTCTGAGGTCATCATCAGTCGCTATCAGCCAATTAAATCAATTTACTCACTGCAAAGGGAAATATCAACCATTAAACGATAATTGTTTCATACACTAAGCACTAAGTAGACTTGATTTTTTAATTTGTTTTATATATATATATATATATATATATATATATGTATATATATATATATATATATAGCCATGCTACATGGCTTGCGAGATCTTATAGTTCCCCAATCAGGGATTGAACCTGGGCCCTTGGCAGTGAAAGCACAGAGTCCTAACAACTAGACCACTAGGGAATTCCCTTAGAAAATATTTTAACAAACATATATATGAAGTAATGCCAATAATGTCAGCTGACACCCAGTCAGTGCCACATTCTGTAAAGGTGCTTTCACATGTGTTAATATTTACTCATTTAATCTTTATGATGAACGTATGAGATAGGCACAATTATAGATGAGAAACTCAGTCACAGAAAGGTGAAACATGTTATCAGAGGTGACAAAGTGGCAGTCAGATTCAGAGCTTGCTATCTGGCTCCAGGGTCTGGGATCTTAACCACTGTCTTTGTGTACACACACACACAGAGACACAGACACAGACACTTTTATGCTCATTTAAATAGTGTACATATAATTTTGTGCATGGAAAAACAACAAATTTTCTCTATCATATAACATTGACCTAAAAAATGTTTTTAACATGGAAAAATGTATGTAAATAACATAAAAATTACACCTTAATAATCTCTAAGCACACAGTTCTGTAGTGTTTAAGTAAGCACATTCACACTTTTGTGCAACCAGTTTTCAGAACACTTTCTAATGTCTGGAAATTACTGTATTTAGTTGATAGTCATACTGAATTTAAGTCCTGGACAAGACTAAATGTGAGTGTTGAGGACTGAAGCAGACATGGGTAATAAAACTGTAAACTGACACAAGGAAGTGTGGTCACTTCAGATCACCACAAATACTGAGGCAACAATTACTTCGAGTGGAAAGATAAGGTCATAATTAAATGCACACATGGAGGTGGGACTACCTGGGTAAATATCACATTAAAAAAAAAATCTAGACGGTTATAAAGTGTTAGCCTTCCAATAATAAAGCTACTTTTTTTTTTTTTGGTGTAGATTTGGTGTCTATTTCACTTTATCACAAAAAGACTTAAATAAAAATAGTCTAAGTTAATTTCATTCTTTGGAGTAGTTTGAAAGTATTCAATTCTCCACTAGTAAAGAGACTATACAGATGACTGAAAATTAAATGCTACAATATCAAGACAAAATATTTACAGAAAAGTAGAAAATAATGTTTTTCCCAAACATTTTAATAATGTTCTAAAAACACATGTTCTATAATAACATAAGATAGTTTTTACACAAAAATATAAAAGATATTTAAGAAAAAAGTATTTGGATCAATGAATAGAAAATATACCTTACAGTAAATAATTTTTAGGAAGACCAATAAATGAGGAATTCATGTACAACCTTAAGACTAAAGTTTTGTTTTAGCAATTATATTTAATAAACATGGAAGTCACAGAGCACCACTTTTTAAAAATGAAAGACATTAAACTACTTTAAAACATTATGCACAAACATCACAAATAGAGCCTGAGAGTTTGGGGGAAAGTACTAACCAGTTACTGCCAGCAGCTGTGAAACTCTCACCTCCATTTCCTCCCGATGAGACCTGTCTCGGTCTTCAAATTCACGTGTCCTTCTTCGGGCCTCTTCAAAGGCCTGCTGTGCTAAGGCGTCCTCCTGCTGTCATAAGAAGACATGAAATAGGTATTTCAACTTTGACTTGTAATCAAAAAATTAAAATTTGGGGCGGGTGTTGTATTTTTTCAAAGAAAGGAACAACAAAGGATTTCTCAAAACATCAAAGCCATAAAAAAACATTAGAGCAAGTTCTCCAAGAAAACCTCAATTATTTTTGTGTGCTAGTATAACACCCTGGAAATCATAATCATGTTCAATCACATTCTAACAAATGAAAATGCTCTTCCCTTTTCCATCCTTACCTCATCCTATTCACCAAAATAAAATCCTAATCAAGTCAATATTTAAGACACAGAAGTATAAGGAAAAAGAAATTAGTAGATACTTCTACAGTGTGGGGATAAGACAGGCCGGATGCTCTAATTATAACACTGAAGCCAGAAATATAGAAGAGAGTATTAACAGAATTGATTGTACAAATGTTAGAAACTTATAGTCAACAAAAAGAAAATTCCAAGGGATATTATCAAGGAAAATTATTTGTAACATGTAACAAATCTACCTGAATCCTTTCCCAATGGATGAATAAAAATCTGTACATGAAGGAAACCCAGATACCTCAAACTTCTTGTGTCGAAAAGGCAACCAATTTAAACTCACCCTCTATACTTTAGTCTGGATGGTAGCACCACTCACTCTCTGAACTACCTGTGACACTTTACTCTCCTCTTATCTTCACAGACCCAATCAACCACCAAATCCTATCCATGTGACCTCCTGTTTTTTCAATCTTTATAGTCTCTTTTTCATTCATACAAACATTTTGCTAGTTCAGGCTCCTAAGAACTCTCACTAAATTACTGCAATTACTTACTGCTTCCATTCTATCATCCCCCAAGCCATAACACAGCCATCCGATCATGCCTTCTAAAGCACAACCTGACCATAATAACCCCCAACTTAAAGCTCCCTCACTGTCTACAGCACAGGATGCTCAATGTTTGCAGCCACATACATCTCAACACTAGAACTTTCAATGCAGTTGATGAAACTAAAATATCAACAACAAAACCAAAAAAGTCAATATTCAACTGCCCCAAGTTTCACTGCAGGAATGGGTGGCCAGGTAACAAGCTCTAGCCAATGATACACAAGTGTAAGTCACCTGATAGGGCTTCTAAGAGTCATTTAAGAGACATGTCACCTTTCTTTCTCCCTGGGAACTGATGCAATGACTAGAGACACAGCATCCATCTTGCACACATACTACTGAGGATGTAGCCATACACACTGAGCACACTGCAGCAGAAGAATGAAAAGACCCACAGCCCCCAGTGGTATGTGCTACACCGGGCCTGAACTGCATACCACTGACATCTTATTCCGTGTGCTACATCCTTTATTTGGCTATGTTAGTAGGGTTGTTCAATACTTGTCATTTTCACTGACTAAACAAAATGAAAAGTGTGAGCAAGTTTTCACTCTTATGATGCATCTACTAGCTTTGTGACCCAGGGGTATTTCATTTTCTAAGCCTCAGTAAACTCTCACGAAGAATGCACATAGCCGTAATACTTTATGAGATTAAATTACATAAAAAAATTTAATTGCAATACCTGACAACTTTCAATAAATCCTATTCTTTTATAAGCATTTGTGGACAGATAAAATTTATACATGTGACTACACATTACTAATATATACCAACTGTATTCTCAGAATGTAATGTATAAGCCAGAGACACCCTCAAAAGAACACTATTCCCAACTCCTAAGGGTTTTCTCTTAGTTAGGTATCAACTAGGACATGTCTAATGATAACAGGATATCCCTTCTGTTCTGTGTATTCATTCACTTAATTTCATTTATTCCACAAATGTCCAGTGAGTCTTTATGATGCCCAAGTCACTGTGCTGGGTGCCACGTATACAATGAGTGGGAACAAACAATGCTTTCCCTCACAGTTTCTGGTCTAGTAGGGCAGGTGGACAATGAACAAATAATTACAACAATCAATAAATAATTACCAGTTGTGACTGAAAACAGTAGACAAGACTTGAAAGATAAAATGAGAGCATATGAGATGTAATCTAACTCCCTAAGGAAGTTATTAGCCACTAATGTGTATTTTACCAAGGATCATAGGTTTTTACCTTATTAAAATAAAAAGGAATTATTACTATTATTTGTAGTAAGAAAAAGCCAAGAGAGATTTGGTAGCTCTCTACCTATAATTCCAGCTTCATCTTTTCTAGTAAGATGTGAAATATATGTGCAATGAACAGTGTCTATACTTTAATAACTGGTTAAACTAAAAGACAATCAGCGACCCAACATTATTTTGATCCTTTCCTGGTGGGAACTTAGATAACACCTCCCTTTCAAGGATAGTATAAAGAGTACTTGTTGATAAAACTACACACTCGCCCATAAAGTATGCTAAAACAGATATGGACAACTAACACCAGCCAGACTCAGGCAGTCGTGGGAGAGGCTTTCAACACTCTGGTGCCCACCGGCTACCTGCTATACTAGTCTGTTACTCCATAGTCTATACCACAGTCTGCACAAAGCAGTCAGGTGGGGTCATCATAAAGAGTGGTTGGGTGTTCGTGAAACCTACATGCGAAAAAAGTCTAGCAGAGCTCTCATAGAGGATACAAATAGACTATTCTCAACCATTCTTGCTATGTTGATTTTGTCTTCATTGTACAGCTAAATCTACAATTATATTTTATAGTTTGGTAATACTTACCTTTCTGTGCAATGAATTTAAAAAATAGACGTATATATTAAATGAAAAATTAAGAATCAAATTCGTATCCAAGAAAGCTGATGATGAACGCATAATCTGTACAACATAATGACATTTCCTATTCTCTGTGGGGACCAGGATGATTATCACTGATCACATGAAAACCAGAAGAAATAAATCTGCTGAAGAAGCATCAACATATACTTCAAAGGCGATAATTTAGCATGTGCAGCTGCAAACGGTACATTTAACACCACTCTGTAGAACATAACTTTTATTTAAATCAAATGACTCTTCTAAATTTTCACTCACATTCTTGTGCACATACAAAAAGCAAAGTTGTTTGCATGTTGGTTTGGCTGAAAGAAAAACCTTGCAAAAAGCTATAGGATACCAGTTTTACATCAATGTCATCAGGTACTTTAAATAGAAAAATCTACTCATCCCAATAATGACTAAATTTTTCTAACCTTATTATAGAATCAAAATAGAAGTTTTGGAAAGTCATTATATTGAAGGTAAAACATTTTTGTGACTGCTAAATTAATTTAAAAACTACAACAATGAAGATAAAGCTATTAGTTCTTAAACTGATAATACAAATACAAACGGTGGTACAAACATTTAAACACTGTATAAAGAATAATATTCTTGGTGAATTTTTAAAATGATGAAATAGAAATTTACTAGGAATTAGTTGTGGTACACAAGTAATTCATAATTGTTACCAGAACAATTCTTTCCCAAAGTAGTGAGGAATTCTACCAATCAACTAGACATTAGAATTGCACAAATTACAAATATATCCATGTATTCACAAAGTGGCTGAACTATAAAATCTGTGACAAAGTTGATGCTGAACACAAAAAAATTCACATGACTTTACACAAGCACTTTGGATTTTAAAAATTCGAGCCTTTGAAGAACTTCTCTGAAATCAACCTAGTTCCTAAAATGACATTGATTTTTTTTTCCCCCCTGTGAATGAGTCCTTTTAGCTCTATTTTGTTCAAAACTAGCTGGAAATCTCTGATCAAAGTACTCAATGGTGAAGTGCTAAATTTTTCAGTTTTTCCAGCTTTCAAAGAATTGCAGTTATTGAAAATCAAACATAGAAAAACAACACTGAAATTTACCCCTTACACATTACAGAAAATGAAGTGAAAATACAATCAGCAAACATGATTCAATTGTGAGTTTATACAACTGTACTCAGATATATCTTCATTGTGGGAAACTTTCAAAACACTTTATTGAAGTATGTTATACGCACAAAATAGTATACATCTTAGGGCTGTGTTGTCCAGTAGCACAGCCTCTAGCCATGTGAGTACTGCATACTTGAAATGTTGCTAATTTGAGTAACTGGAAAACACACTGGGTTTCAAATACTTGTTGCCAAAAAAAGGTAAAATGTCTCAATAAATGTTTATATCCTTTATGTTCAAATGATAATATTTTGGATATACTGGGATAAATAAAATGCACAAGTTAGCAATTAGAAAAAACTTTTTAAAATGTGACTTTTTAGAAAAATTTAAATTACATAATATGGCTAACATTTGAATTCTCCTGGACAGCACTGTCCTAAAAGATAGTTTGATGAATTTTCAGAAACTGAACCTGCTCTTTAACTAAAAGCCACATGAAGAAACAGAACATTAGCAGCATCTTGGAAGCCTTCTCCTCCATTCCAGTAACTAGCCTCCTCTTTCAAGGATAAATCACTACCGTTCTTTTTAACACCATGTAGTATTAGTTTTACCTATTTTTGTACTTTGATATATAAATGTATTCATACAGCATGTGGTTTTTTTTTTTTAATACCCTTAATATATTTGTGAAATTCACTCATTGGTGGGCTAGTTGTAGTTTTTCATTTTCTTTGTATTTCTCTGTGTGAACATACAATTTACCGATTTGACAGTTTAGTGGGCATTTGGGCAGTTTATACAGTTCCTGGCTATTAACCAATAATGCTGTTACAAATGTCCTAGTATGTGTATCTTGATGATTACACACACACACACACACACACGTGCACACACACACACACTCATTTCCACTGCATACCAAGCCTCAGAAAAGAATTACTTGATCACACATACACACATGTGCAGTTTTAGTATTTATTGCCAGTTTTCCAAATGTTCTGTCAACTTTATGTAATCAAATAACTGTTTTTCCATATCTTTGCCAATGTTTGTCAAAGATACTCTGAACAAAGGCAAAAAGACAATACCTGTGAAAATATTTCAGCAGAAATACTTACACAATTTAATTTTTTT